AGATAGTGCAGACAGAGGCAGAATTAAGCAAGCAATACTGCAATAACATTGGTAAAAGCCTAGATAACCAATGATCTTCTTTTGTACATATTATTTAGTCACCCTCATTTCTTTCAATAAACTAAGTACGAACTTCCATTCTTGTGGCCTTTTCCTCGCGTCTAGGTTGCGTGGGAAATTGTGTTAGTGCCATTGCGGTCCAGTGCTTCCGTGACCCAGTCCGTGATAGCTGATCTTTGGTTCGTGTCTTGTGATTCCTATTGCGTGGTTCGTGTTCCGAATTCCGTGCAAACTACTACTACTACTGTGATCATTACATCATTCCTGATGACACCCAGTACCTGATGTTAACCTCTTTGCATGAAACCCATCGTTTTAAGTCGTGAGATACTTTGTCAAGACTTTTCGTGAAGATGCAGATACATCGGATTCATTTCGGATCATGTGAAATGAAAATGATNTGATGTATAATCAAGAATATCCTCCAATCTGTCTCTTGAATCCAGGACTCTGCGCAGTCGGTCGTTTCGCGCATGAAATCTCGGAGACATTCGGATGCAAACTGGAACACAAGTACATTACACTTTTCATGATCAATGATGTTTTCTCCTTGATTGCTAATTTGGATATACCGGACTATTTGAATCCTTAATATATAATATATATATAATAATAATAATATATAATATATATACAATATATAACATAATGATATAATTTTAACAGTTCGTTTTCCTCTTTCCTTAATCTTAAATTGATATCAACGATTTTTATTTGGTTATCCTCTAAATTGAAAAGTACAACTGTTCTATGTGACAAAATCACGAGAAAAATAAACGATTGGCTTATGAGATTGAGATATTGATTAGCTATTTATCGGTCACTATTCATGGGTTTTCAGAACCACTTCATACAGAAAAGAATCCTGGTTTTATCAAAATATCTATTCCAAACCATTGTATTCCCTGGAATAAAGGCTAAAAATATTTATTTTATTGCTATATACGAGTAAGGGTGTTCAACAAAATATCCCCCGTTGTGTCATGTGCCAGTCCAAAGGCGAACAAGTGTATCCAACTTATAGCGTTTGATGATGCGTTCAAATGATTTTTCAATATAGGCAGAAAAACTTATTAAACTCGCACAGTTGATAAACGCATTTACATATATCGGTTGTTTATATATATGCAATCATGATTTACTGGTAAATCGTTGCAGTAATAACGCTATGTTTTTGACAGCATACAACGATGTCTAAATGAGAGTAATGTAAGAAAACTCAAGGTGGATTCAAATTTAAACATGCACATTACATAAGGCTAATTCTCATATGGTCTACACCTTAGGCTAGCAGGGCACTTTAGGAGCTTCAATCTATCCCGCATTGCTAACTGGAGGCACGGATCAAACGAATTCTTGTGATAGAATGTCACTCGGGAATTTCTGTGGATAATCTTGAGGTTTCCTCCAGCCTAAGCGTTTGCATGTATAACTCCCCTAGATTATTGAATGACCTTCGTCGTTTTGTAGTGTGATCTAAACACATTGTCGGTTGCGGTCAACGCATTTGTGATATATTTCACCACCTTTGCTTCATTATGAGTAGTTAATCTATGTAAAAAGTGTAGTGTGTCCATAGGTGCGAGACCATGTTACGCAAGGTTACGTTGTTTCTGGTCGTCAGAGCTGCACATGTCAGTACTAATGACATTAACATCTTGGTTTCATTGGCTCCTAATGATTTGTTTGCAGTCATAATCACTTGGTTCAGTGGATACTTTTGAGACTGTACCACCTGACCATATAAACGCAGACAGAATTCATGAACTCAATTAAGTGGATCAACCGGTAGCGGACATAAGACTGAACTACTGTAATCGAACACAAGAAAACGATAATCACGTTTTTTACAGTTAAAACGTTATCCTTGGCTTACCCCATGAAACAACTCAGTTTTCCCTAGTATTCATCTAGTACCTCACGGCTTGACGAGTAATATTCTGCACATGATCTTTCCAAGAACCCATTTAAACATGTTGATATTTAGTTTCCCCTCCAAAGGGGCAAAGCACACTCTGATCACTTTGAGTTGCTCCAGCCGCTATTCATTACCGATACACCCCTTAGTCGGGAAACATCGTTTAGAAACTTGTGTGTTAGCCCTAAAAAATCCTCCGCTTGGTTTTAGTATATCAACACCGTCTTTGCCAAGTCAGAATGCTTTTGTTTTTTGCCGTGAGTCTAAGGCCCTTATCCACTGTTTCCCATCTGATAAAACAGTTTGTACATGCCTGCATATTACTGCGGTAATTTGTTGTCTCAACTTTACTTTACTTGTAAAAATCTGAAACCGATAAAATAGACAATATCATAGTGAAACGTCCAGATTTTGTGATTTTATTTTTTGTATCAACTAAACTGTTTGCTCCCAATCAAGATGATTGTGTTACAGATAGTATGTGAGGACAATTGGTCAACCATCTTGAAAGGCATTTGTCGAAAAGGTACGGGGGATCTTGAAACTACTGACATATCTATATGTTTGATTAGGGGTACATGCTTTACAAATACTGCGTTCGGTATTCTCCTTCGTGGGGCGTAACAATCAGGGTCGTTTCCTTTATGCACCATGTTATGCAATTGTGGAAACCACAAAAGAACGACTGTTCAAGATCATGTGCAATCGATATGACAGTGAGACATGTTACTTGAGAGTAATGTAGAATTTGATTAAATTTGATAGAGGGAATCCGTCGTATAGAGTGCAAATGAAGCGTGAACTGAAAAGCTAGAAAGCACGGTACAACTGTTTTGACCTGGTTCAATTTCATCAGCATTGCGCATCTATCGACCTATCTAGCGATCGAACTTGGGACCTCACAAGCAGAACGCAAGTATGCTACCCACTCGGCCACCGGGTAGCTGATAAAACTGTCTTTCATTGAGATTTACACGATATAGCACACCTCATCTGAAGCAACTACCGATGACAGCAACGTCCTATTATCCCTGCATACACTTTGCACGGACTAGATTCCAGTTGAGCTTATTTAAATGGGCTGTAAACTGAGTATTACTGAAGACCACTTAGGCAAGCTTGGATCGGTTGATGTGATCAACCTTAACTGGAACAGGTTGATACAGTGTTTGGACACCCGCACGCTAATCTGGTTTCTTACCCCGGGTGGTTTTGTAAATATGCATACTGATGATTGTATGATCCGCTGGGTAAAGTAAGGATTGCGCATGAATACCAAAGTTCACTGTTATTTGCTAAGAAGTAAGTATTAAGAAGTAAGTAAGAAGAGTAACATTTCGATCGCATGAACAAACCACGATTTTCAATGAAAACTCAGTGTGTGTATCGGGACCACAAAATCGGTCCGCTTTAAAATTTTTGATAACTTTCTATTAATACAAGTATGGAATTATTTGTTTATAAAACCGAACAGAGAATAAAGTTTATACATACTGCATTTTCATCTATTTGATATACGGTGAGTAGACTCTGGACATATGTATACTGGGGCTGCCATTAGGCAGTCGCTAAAAACACCACTATCGAAGTGATGGGAAAGCCATGGTTTTTGTCAATGGTTGTCTCATTTAACCGCACACAAAATACATCTTTTAAGATTAGACAAGACTTACCCGGTGTCAACTGAAGATACAATGGACTACTATATGGCCCATACGCATAGTCCGTTTGAGCTCGAATCTGAATTGCGGGACGTTCGGTCATGTGATTCGTGAAGGATCGAATGAGATACGATAAGCGGAGGGCGAGACAGAAAGCGCTCTATCACAGTGACGATAGCGTTTCAAACTCAAAATCACGCGAAAAAGTGTAGAGCATTTCTTACTCAAAAATGCGCCCGTGATGCAGACAGTGGTGAAACAAAAATCTAAGGTTTCTCTCATTAAACTACGCAATTAAATCTGGGGAAATACTCCGGCTAATACACGAATAGAATTGGCATTAACCTATATCATTCGTGCGCCGATCAGATAGGTGCGTCGTTTCATCGCATTGTTTTCGCAACAAAATTGGGCGCATTTCGCAGTGGCGTGAAACGTATCATTCGGCTGGCGACAATCACACTAACGGGGACAGACAACACGGATGCATCCCGTACTGACTGGGCTGTTTGTGTGAGAGATTTCACCGGAATTTCGTGACCAAAGTGATTTATACATGATGCGTTAGAATTGCACCTATTTGTTAACGAATCTGTTTTGTGTCAGAAAAAACTTTCAGATTACCCGAATTTGGACTTGGGGTCTTATTAAATTTTGTTTGTTATTCACCAGCCAGTTAATAATGGAAACGTTGTGGACGCAATAACACCGGCAGCCAGTGCTGTTTAGTTGCTCTGGTCAGTGTCTAGCGTTCCCCGAAAGGCACAAAACGAGCCTAAATCATCATAGTGATTAGAAAATGGAAGTATAAAGATGCGACTTTGGAGAACAGCTGCCATAATTGAATGATATACTTTTAAAACATCCCATGAATTTGAATAAAACAAGTAACACAATATGAGCAGAATTGATATTGGCCATCAATTTCGCGTGTTCTTAGTCAGCGGTCTACGCACATTAAATAGGACAAATGTTATCATAAGAATACCGTATATGGACATTTACAATTACATGGGGTCAAGCAGAAGGCACTGAGTGGTTGAGTCATTACCAAAGTCATTTGAGTATGAGTAGAAGAGGAGGAGGGGTGGGGAATGTTAGCATAGAAAACACTTACGTAATGGAAATAAATTAACAATGGTGAATTGTCTATGAATTGTCTAAATTTCACGTTCTATGCTGCTGCATGCTGCTGGGATATATAAGCGAGGATGAATATGCTGGCGTAGGTAGAACGAATTAATCGCTGTCGGAGACCGGAAAATTCCCGGTTCCTTTCTTCAAGGTTGCGGATGGAAAAATGTTTTAAGAAGAATATGTACATGCCGTTCAGGTCATATTTACCCATCACTCTGGGGCGTCTGGGGACGATTGAGGTGATTATATCGACCGTGTAAATAACCCCAAAAGAAAATCGTGAATATTGAATTGTTTGAGATCCTAAATTGCAACATCCTAAATACAAAAATAATTGATACTGTTGACGGTATTTCCAATGAAAGCAACCAACTGATAAGTGCAAAACTTATTGGAATTAACTCGGTTTCATTTCTTTTAATACGAAGAATGTAGACGGTAACAGTCAACTTCCTATCTGTGCAGGTCAATCTCAATCCGCTCCAATTTGGGTTTCCGATTATATTTCCTATACAGTCATTCTTCTGATCTATATTACACATTTATCAAATGTAATAATTACATGACTATCGAGGTGGCTAGCAACCAGCATCATCAGACCAACTAACCTGAATCCAGTACGCGTGTTCCCTTGACAAATTGTCTAGTTTGATTTTTGGAACCGATGTATGATATACTGCACTGGGAATAGTTACAAGTCCGGATTCTGGTTGATCTGTTCCATTTGTTTTCTGAATTGGATGTCGGGGAGTGCTTGTCGACACAGACATAATGCCAGACTGGTTCGCAAGGATTACACAAACCTCGTAGTTGACCGCCTTAAGATGGTCGAGAGACTCTGCGAACCCTTCAACCTGATTATCAATGGATGAGGTATGATTAGACTGAGTTGGAGTTAACTGGAGCGCTTTCCACTGGAGTAGCACAGCATTTGGTGCAATCACCTCTGATCGAACTTGATTCACGAGAATGGTTGGAGCTGCGGATGTAAGTAAATACGATATTGAAGTGAAATGGGTGCGAATATATGAAACAGAAAACACTAAAGTAAAAAAAATAAATAAAATCTCCTGATATATGTGCCCATCTTTTCAGTTTATTGTCATTTATTGCAATATATTATACTCCGGAAAGAATGGAACAAAGACAATAACCCTCAAGGTGTGTTTCACCTTAATCATTTGAAATGGTCACCAGTATTTGTTTAGTCATTGGTTTACATTCAATCACTGCCTCAACGTCTGCAATGGCTTTCATCCATTCACTCCTCGTATGATAGCTTCTTTCGATCACAAAATAATTTTTCATGCACGCGAGTTTCTAGTTAAATAGAGCAAAATGCAATGTCGATAAAGTATGATTTGGTATTTTCGGTCCATTAAACATTCATGGTCTTGCTGGAAGAAAAACGCCGGCGGCCACTGACGGCAGTCACAAGTGAGAACCAAGATCACAGTATGGAGATAACAGAATGTCAAACTTGAGTGTTTTGTGCAAGCGCGCGCATGTGTGTGTGTGTGTATGTAAATGATCGTGGACAGATTTGATCGGCATTGAGACAATTAACGCGAAAGTGGAATGACTCAATGATGGCCCGCATCGCTGATTTTCCCGCTCATATATGGTCACGCGTGCGTGTGCGCGTGGGTACGCCCACAGAAGGGACAGCCAGCAATAATGTACATATAGTAAAATAACGTATATTACACGGCAGAATGAAACTATTGTGAATGAGTACTGGTTAAGAGACTGTTTTAATTCATTGTGATGATCTGCTTCGAAGTAGGTTTTAGCCTAGTAATAAGGACCTCGTGTAGAAGCGTTTGATCTAGTTCTTGTAAATACCATTGCTGTTTACTTAGTAGTGAGTTATACACAACGTTCTGTTCTAGAAAGGTGATTCCAGTGTATAAACTTAGCAGAAAAAACAAACATACCAAGAATTGTCTTATGCGGAAACTAATTCGTTCTCTGGGTTACGTTATGAATTTTGCAAAGGTGATAAAACTGTTATAGGTTAGAACAACAGCGCTTATATTCAGACTTCAGTATGGACCCAACGATTTAGATTGAATGTACAGCATGTACAGGACGGTAGAGCACTGGTGGTGTAATGCATTTTGATGTTTAGAGAAACCTTATATGCATGTGTATGTTCCGTAATGCCTAGGCATGGTTCAACTGAAGAAAAGGTTTAAGGTAATCTATCCATCGAAGGTCAAAATGGTCACCATTTATTTTTGTTAACCCTTCAGTCTCCTTATTGGCGTGATTTCAATAACGTGCAGACAGTTCTATCATTTAGCCCGGAAAATGATGGCGGATCTGCTCTGTGTCCCGTAAGCCCTTCACTGTGAAATTTCACGCAAACCCAGAGTGCATCCAGCGAAGATAAGTTTGAATTGTATTCTGAGTGTTAAAGTGCCCATTAGTGAATTACTCCTAGGATGCGAACTGTTCTTCATCCAACAAAACTCCTCAACTCAACAGAACTTGAAAGTTAGGTAAACAATGCATTTTCGTTTAAATGGCGGTTCTTGCTCGATAAGCACATGACATATCAATTACTATCAAAGATGTTGCGATTCTAGTACACATTTAATGTATTTATCCACATTTTCGAAGTACTTGATGATAACCCAATATACCAGTAGTTCATTATGTACAATGACATTTTTCTGCCACCAAGGGATCCGTAACTGGACACAATGAGCTAACTTCATTGGCTTTTAAAAATGCAGGCTAATGTCTCTGGCGCTAACGTACTAAACTGTACCGAGTTCATTTACTGTTCGACTGTCGATCATAAACTTGTTCCTTGTGTCCCCTTGCGATCTGTCCTGACTGGCTAGCTGACTGACGGTAGATTACATTTGTCATTTGACACTTAAAATGTAGACGTAGGTTGTGAAAATGTTAAAGTTGGTAAACCATTGCATCACTAGAGGAAGTGGAACATTCCGGAACAAAGCATGGCAAAAGACTGCTTACCGGAACGCGTTGTGACAATTACACTGGTCACGTGAGCCCACAAGGCATCTGCCAGGCTTGACGCCTCGTTTTGGGCATACACATCAAACTGGTAACGTGTGAGCGGTTGTAACCCGGAGATCCGTACCCTGCACGTGGCGAGAGAGAGAGAGAGTAACATTAGACTGTGAGTTAGAACTAGAGCAATGTTGTTTTGCACTAATCAGTGAAAAAGGTAATTAAATGACATTAGTGAATAAAAACCATATCCTCCGAATTCGCCGTTTGTAGGAGAATATTTTTGGCATATAAGCTCATATGAGTTATACAATATACTGAAAATGTACTGTGCGGCTTAAAATGCCATCAACCAAACAGTCCATGATTTTGTAGCCTTACGTTATCCGTTCAGATAAAAGAATATTTTGCCGAGTCCATGGGATGTTTTGGAAGGAGGTTAGAAATTAGCATTGAACTTGGTTAAGCGTAAAGACAAGTTGATAGCAATCATCTGTCTTTCGAATTCTCCCTATCTGTCGCGGTTGAAGTAGAAACTTCAACAGATTTGCATTATAAGTTTACGTGATGATGATGGAGTACATTATCGACTATTTACCTCGTTATTTTCTGACCTCACTTTGTTCTATTTGATGTATCGATTCCACACATTTTCTAGCGCGAATGTTAGCCCTAATTTTTCTTACTTGGATTCCACTCCTCTCCAGCACCTTTTGTCTGACCTTGTCACTTTCTGAAATCTTCCTTCAATGACTTGCCCCCTGGCCCCAGTTCTATGCATGTACTTCCCCAATGTCGGGCTAAAAAGTTATTTTTAGTCTACTGTCTCCGTTGGATTTGTGGGGCCTGGTGAGTTCAGCTACTACTGGGAGTATTGCGGTGATCCTGGTGACCTTACAGCACATGCAGTCCAACGATAATAGTATATTTACAATAACCAATAAGGGAGTTGTCAAGGTTGATCGGAAATAAATGAGTGCTCACAAAACCACACAACGTAACCGGAATTCTCGGAAATCTCCAGACAATATCTGTCAAACGATACTGATGACCTTTATTGATCAAGTTGATGGACTTTAAGGTTGATTTAAGCTTGTGTAATTGCAACGGTAGGTATCTGCCACAACAGTAAGGCCTGGAAGATGCATTCCGGGGGGGGGCGCTTTGTTTGTCCTTGTCTTGGTGTCCGACCCAGTAAACCTTACCATATGAGCGACACGTTTTACTCTTGGTTAGTTTTATTGGTGAATCAATCTGGACCAGGACAGTTTGTTCTGCTGTAAGTCTTTCCCAAGATTAATTTTAATTAAACAAACAATACTGCACATGCATGTCCAGTACGATTTCGTTGCATCTCAACATGGTGCATACTTCCGCAAATGCTATGTTTAAACAGAGCTTTAGCATGGCAACAGACTAAAGCAAACTACATTAAACAAAGAAAAGGATAAAAAGGGAGACGGGTAATAGAAACATGTCACCAGGGTGGGGACAGACTAACATAAAGTTCTTTTCGTTGACACAGGAACCTCGATCGATTAATGACCATAGCTCCAGTAAACCTTAGCAATCCTGCGACTGGTGAGTTGTGCCAATCCTAAACGCCGTTATTCGTTCCATATGGTGTTGTATCATAAGCAGATGTAGAGCAGTGGCTGAGGACGGGGTCTTGAGGTTTCGACCGTCGTTTCTATGCAGCTGGCTTGACCTCCATTTTTTCATCGGATTTTGAACCCAATATGCTATATGTTCCACCACCCGCTTGGGTAATTGGCACTCTGTTCTGCTCACGTATGTTGCTCTGCTCTGCTAAAGCCCTGTATAAACATTGCATTTTCTGCAATATGCATTACGTTGAAATGCAGCAAAATCCTCCCTAACATAAATCCTATGGTCTGTTCTCACGGACGGAGACGAGTATACCTCAGGAGTAGGAGTGAAAGGGAACATTGTTTTCAATTAAACATCATTTTAGAATTAAGTTTGGAACGCCTCACATGTAACTGAAAATTCAATAGCTAAATTGGGCAACCCATCCGTTCACTTCAAACCATACGGGAACAATCTGATAATAAAACGTTGTCGTTTCCGCTAAATTCGTTCAGCGCGGCATAGTGTTAACTTGATCAGACCCCTGTTACACGGTCTATCTCCATTCACTCTGTCGGTGAGAAATTGCAGAGCGCCTCAGTCGTGTGTCATGTCGGAGAATCGGCCAAATGGTGTGATTTTTGTCAGACCTCCAAAAAGCAAAGGATCAGTACGAATTCTAACGCGCCGTTTTATGCCCCTTAAACGTGTTATTGCTTTTATTCAACTGTTAGATGGTTTTTGAGTTTAAATTTATGAAATGCATTATCATTTTGTCTAGACAAAAAGGGTAGAGAAACTAGAGAGTAGTTCAATATGATTTTGGCTAAAATTTTCGCTCAGTTTCCGTAGTACATGAAATGCATCCATACAACTCTGGTTTCCTGCACCTGAACTGTAAGCAAATCATCAAATCGAATCTGATTTGGTATGGCGAACTTAGAACTCAATGTCTGTTAGACAAACCAAAACAAGATTTTAGAAGGCGACTATGGGTCATGGGTAAAGAAATGATAACCAAGGCTGGAGGATTTTGGGTTTTGCGATGCTTGATGAGAAAAGATTTGGTACAGATTGACTAACCGGTTTTATCTATCAAAATCAATTTCTGTCAGGGAAGAGTTCAATGTAACTTTTAGGTTACAATGAACTTGGTACACAAACAGAAATCTTCCTAGCTAAATAACAATGGGGTGATACATGTATTTGCTATCCAAGGGCATTTTTGAGCCTTTGATATACGCAACAGTCGATCAGAAACTAGTCGGATGACAGTTGTCAATTGGCTCACAGTACCGGATCACTGTTCACTAAATACTGCTTAGGTAAACATACTTGTCCCGCAGTTATATATTCTATTTTCGAGATTACATCTTTTCTGGAAGTTCAGAAACAAACCAGGCACGACATCCATACATAAACAACGGTTTTTTCTTGGCACTGAATGTTTTCTCATTTCTAGGCAAACCCAATGCCAGTGTCGGATGCTGGCCTGAAATCAGCCCTATGAACATTCTTACGTGCTTAAGTGGAGTGGAAAACCGAAAGATGAGAGACATGATTTACTGACGCCTTCCACATGTTGCGTATAACTCTTATTCCGGTTTGGTTTTGCAGCTCGGCCGATAGTTCACAAAATGTTTATGCTAGGAATGTGCAAAACACGAGCGAAGCGTGATGTCGTAAATAAAAAGGATATTCGGTTTATTTGCCGTGTGAAGCAAAACATGAAAATTCTCATGCGTAAAAACATCTGCAAATGAACAACCAATTTCGACGTTCGGGGTCTCTCTCTCTGCGGTTCAAACAGAAGTGGGACTTCATCATATGTGCAAGGCCGACAGGGACAAAACGGTCATTATACCTGGTACCGTTCAGTAGATTTGAAGGCGAATAGGTGACCGCGTTTGGTGTACAACCTTGACAGGTCACATGGAATTGTATATCTTTTAGTCCACCAGATCGAATTGGATGGTCCCATGTGAGTTCAACTGAGGTCCCATTAATACGAACCGCATTCAGATTTCGCGGTGAACTCGGAGGGCCTGAAATAAAGTATGATTGAGCTGTTAGATGACTGGAGCTTCAATATAATATAAAGTCCAATATTTTCAAGGATAATATTTGTACTCTTGAATATATGAGTTTTGGAGTGTGGATTAGCTATGAAAGTTGACTTCATCTTTTTTTACTTTTCTTCTTTTGGCTGGCTTGTTGCATATATTATATAGTTCAAACTGCTTGCTGTGTATTAAGACCATCGTGCAAACTGGTTCGGTCGTGGACAAAGGGCAATCATATCCATTTATGATCTTTGCCATCCGGTTTGCAATACTCACAGGTTTGATTTGAAGAGCGCCTCTAAAATTGTTTATTGGGTCCCACATAATCAAAGAAGGCAGCTCAAACGTGCCGGAGAAGCTGATGGCAATTTATTAGTAAACACGGATCTATGTGGACACAAGCGGTTAATACAAACTCTTCCGTTTCACTGCCATTTTCTAATAAAAATAAAAGACCAAAGTGACTCAAGGAAATCACATCAGTTTCAGTTAACTATAAACAACCAACCATAAATCCCCCAGTCATGCTATGCTCTCAGAAGAACATTAATTTTGTGAGCCCTCCTCCCCCCCCCCCTAAAAGTACTTACTGCGGTGACCAATCGTTTAAACGTGTGTATTATTTTGTCATCAACTTGATACCGGAAGGCATGAGTAGCAATCATCCAGAACAATTATTTTCTGTCTATCATTTTACAGTTCCATTTCTCAAGATATTCTGTTTTGCTTGTGGTTAGAATTTATCACACCTTACTAAATGATGCTGAAACACACCTTACACATAGCAGAACTTGAAATAAACCAAAGGAAGATGAAAATTGTCTACAACCTAGTCAAATCGCAATGCTACATATAGCGACTAACAATTAACTGCTCTCACAGGAGACCATTTTTTCTAGTATTCTCCTTCCGGCTATTCGGAGAAGCCTGCATTGTCAATGGTATAAAGACCCTCATCAATGAGCCTCTGTCTCCACGTTCCAATCCCGATTGTTGGTATCAGGACACCATTATGCCGATCCGAAAGACCTCTGCAACTCTAAAGTTGAGTGCAATGGTCATATCAAGTCGGTTGCAGTGGTTCATTACAATTCCCCATAAACACTTCACAGTATGCATGTGTCCAATAGATGTACATTAGACATTTGCTCTAATCCACTTTCTCAGTAAGTCATTGAAAAATTCTTCCAAACCTGTCAGTTGTATTTTCTTGCTATTTGTCTGTTTTCAGTTCCGTTTCCCCATCCTTATTGTCAAACTTGAGTTTTTTGCCAATCCGAGAGAGCTGCTATCATCACTTGTAGAGGGAAATACACAGCGGGCTAAATCGAAATGATTATGAACGATCCATCAAAATAGAATTGGGCAGTTGGGAATTTTAGAAAATCATTGTCAGTTCGTTCGAACATCTTTACAAGGTCCATGTCCCTCGTTGTTCAGAGGTCTAAGAATCAGCTTTTCCATGCTAATTTACGTGCAAATATAATCGTTTTAACATCAGACACACGGTCCAGAATTCGCTCTATAACTTAACATTATCTACTGCTTATGGAGTAAGAAACAATGGAAAAATGATAATTGTCAACAAATGATCAACCGCGGACGTGTGATTGTCCTCTGACATATTTCTGAAGCTTGCTCATAGAAAACGAACATTCACTACAACGGGATACGGACGAAGGTTCTGGCAGCTCTTGCAATTAGGATTTCATGAAACAGCGCCTGCACAACCAAATTTCATGCACTGGGAAACGACTGACTACTCTGGCGGTGGTGGCCAAGTGGTTAGGTCACCAACTAGTGACTTGGGTGTCCCGGGTTCAAACCGCCCCACCGCTGTCCGTCTTCCCTCTATTTATATTCTCCCTAGGCAGCCTTTGTATGGCCGTAGCCCCCTTCCTGAAATTTGACTGTACATTTGTTTATTCAAAAAATAGAAAAAAGAAGTTAAAAGACATTTATTACTTTCGTTTTCCTTTTAAGACGTATTAGTCTAATTGTCGCCTATCTTTCGGCGACTTTACTCCCACAATTCCGCACATTTTCCCGATTGACACGCAAGTTGTAGAAAGGAATTTACAAGTTCCTCGGCGATTTTCTCTATTCGTTCCATATGACCTGAATGGCTACTTTCAGCCGATTCGACAGACAATCATCCAATACTAGCATGGAACCAATTTTTCTACTATGGTCTAAAGGAAGTGCATAAACATAAATGCTTGAGACCAAACCCCAAAAATGTAATTAATTCGTATTTCGCATTTGTATATATTATTAAATACTCTTCTCATTATGATAACTTAAAAGGAAATTGGCATGTGGACTACTTGCATAGATCTGTTTAGAATAGGTGAACCCGGCAAGACACTGTTTGCTCGAGGAAAATCCATCTGTTACGCCCATACACCCTCTCAACCACACGACAGGCACACTCACCGAAACACGGATAATTCGGTGAACTGATTCGGGACAGCCGAAAATAACCGGGCAGGCAATCACACTGCAGTTGACCCAGATTGGTGGCCATCGAATTGAGTGGACAAACACGACACTGTCCGTTTCCCGCGATAGGTTTGAATGTCCCGCGAAGACAGGCTGCAGATCAGAAAGTTGAAATTGAGAAACAAATGGAGACTCTTGTTATCAAGGGTCAACACCTGTGGTGTGCGTGACTGATATTATATTTTGCGGCCTCATCGGAGAGGCTTTTGCTTCGTCTCAGGTGAAGTTGCGCAACTGTTCGCACTTGACCAAACTTTTCAACAGCATTATAATAGAGTTCAGTTCTCTAATCCACCAGCACTTTTAAACAATTTGAGAAGATTTACAGCTCATATGAACATTAACGTGATACATGACGGGACCGTTTGAAAAACTATTAACACGAATAAAAACATAAAAACTTTTACAATGAATTGTCTTATACGTTATTGATCAAATTACCGTTTTTTGGGCAGCTCCTATTCCGCGTGGAGCAATAATATGACTTTCCTATTGGAGAATTATGAGGTAGGGTGCTGCGAGTCGCAGTGATATTGTTGCTGGCTTCTCAAAAGCAGTTCACCATGTTTCAGCCCTGCGCAGTATAGTGATCCGAACTCACCCTGGTCACCACCGTCCACAAATTCTACCATTTAGCATGAAATACCACCGTGATAACCACACAATGCGAAGTGGAAGATTTTTCGATTTTCAGTCGGCTATCAAAGTTAGTAGTTTGTACTCTGCATCGTTGACTTATGATCATCTTCAGTATTTCATGTTGCGCCTCTCAGTTTGCACGGGTCCAAGTCTGCAAATGAAGCTCCTGCAGTCCCCTTAAACTCTTCGTCTGGTATGAATGCGCGTTATCTGCCGACCGGTTCACCTCAGCCGTGCATGTGTTGGGGACTATTCTCCAAGATATGCATATATTCGTTTCCATTTTGTCGACGTAAGACAAATGACACCCGCTTACTAGTTTATTAATGCGTATCTGTCCACAATCTGGGAAATGTCGGACTCCAACTTTGGAGTCTTTCCCGGAAGTGCACTCCCCTCCCCTTATTCAGCTACTGACTCAAAGAAGTTCGGAAAAAATGCCCGAAACTATATTTTTCGTCTTTATGTTACCAAAGTCACCGATAACAGTTTACGGTCATCCGATTTAAAACAATTTGCAGGACTTTCGATTTTTCGTCCCTTACTGCAGTTGAACACATTTCCTTTTATCCACCTCACACAACGATTGCACATTTTGTCCCTAAAATATAAGCTGCATTTCCACACAGCATTGTTAATTTCATACTCAGCCCAGAATTGATTCGATTTTGATTATAAAGGGGGACACGAGGTTTTCATTCATCTCAATCCGTTGATGAACAACTTACATGTTTCCCGTCTCAAAAAAATTGAACCTTTTGATATTGGATTTGATGATTACAAATCCCGTTGTTGTCACTTTGAAAGCCGAAAACTTCACAATACGTATCCATGTGGCTTCCGCAGCCCCATGGCATTCTAGGTGAGTTGGTTAAAGTGTCGCGTCGACATTCGGTGAGGAAGGTTTTCCAAATCCATAATATGATATTCCCTCGCTGCACTGTATCGTCGAATCCAATTTCCTTTCTGTTGATAACGAGGCTGATGCAGGATTTTGCGAAAAGACTATGCTTTCTTTTATTTCAAAGGATAATTTTGAATGCGTTTTCCTGATTGAATGAACTGTAAAAAGTAACGGAGGCCGAAACAGGTGAACGCGAAAGATTAATTCGTTTGGTTATCTCTCGTCAGTCATCACTGCATCGCATAGTGAAATTATCTTGTTTCCCCGGGGATACCTCATAAATCGAACGGACTTTATTCCCAGTGAAAGACCGAGCTGGGAAAGTGGTTAGTGAAGGAGGGCGGGAGCAGGAGATTTCAGGTGTGTTGCAATGGCAATCTGTCAGTTCTATTGACGATTATGGCTTTCCGGTGTGAAACAAGTAGCTCACATAAAATAAAATGCTTTAAATGGGTAGGGGGCAACCCAATCACTGATTTGACTCCCAGGCTTGTGTGAATTTCGGCTGAATCAGTTTGTCTACAGGTGTTCCGCTTAGATCATTGTATTCACGCACTTGGAATATTTATTTTTTTCAGTAGAAATACTGCATTCGGAGTCTTGACTACACATGGGTCTGTTTTTGTAAGATATCTGGATATTCTGGTATTCTAATGCCGAATCATCCATCACTGAGGTGTAGAAAGAAGACCAAAGAATAAGGGCTTTGTTTACGACAAAAATCAATGGGGTTAAATGAATTGATTAGCAATATCTTTGAACATTTGACTGAATGGGCATCAGCGAGTCACCGTTCTTTTTCTCCGAATCACACGGCTTTTGTTTGAAACGCATGACTTTCAATTAATCCACCCTACTAATTTGTTGTCTGTTGTCCGGAAACTGTAAAGTTGCGCCCTTTACCTAGCGATACCTTCGACACTTGGATCGCCAAACTCGCTTTCCTCAAAAGAGACCCATTTACTTGACTTGCTGTCCTGCTTGGCCTTCCTTCGGTCAGTGGGCATCATCTTCGGTAGGCGTTACAGGAGTATTGAATTGCTGATTTCGGCTTTTGGTATCTGGTAAGGTCACATCCATGTTTGAATTACTGTGGTCCATGGAATCCGCTTTCGGACCTGCAAGCTCCTTGAAAATGATTTGATCGTTGATAAACCGCAGTAAGTCAGATTCGTTATTCTCGCCATAGAATGACCAACCTTACTCCTGACAGTTACAGGTCATTTCCTTGGAGGTAAGAGATCAATTATGGTAAGGAGCATAACAAACTAAGTTGTTGGAATAGATTCACTGGTGTTTCGTCGATGGTGGCGTGCACCGCATTTCTGTATTGCAACTGATAGTTGTCCGATTCTGACACTATCTTCGGGCTCTTAGATGGAAGGGCACTTTTAGTCGCTTGCAACAAGTTATCCACTTTACCGTTTCAACAAGGATGACGTGACGCAGTGTGCACATTTTAGCAACTTATACTATCTAGCCACATTCTGATATTAGCAGCGCAAAACTGTGATCCGCTTTCGGTCACGAACACCCATGGAATCTCTTCTCGATTGGAATACTTTCGCGTAATCCGCATTATAAAGGATACCATAGAGGTACTGGTTATAAACACATGTCAATTCGATTATGAATCACTTAGTGCCAGTGTATATAGATGACCGAAGAATGACCCACAGAATTCGGCCTGCAAAGGTTTTCAAGGAATGCAGCTCTCCAACTATGGTGTCCAGTTGCTTAATCATTAATTCTGCTCTTGCAGGTATGCTTGGCCGTTTGACAGGTGGGTTTGTTCAGGCTGGAATATCAAAAACCCGTAGAGCGGATAACTTCAAATTCTTTATCTTTAAGTGAACCTTGTGCAGATTTAGGATTGCCCTTTGCCACAGAGGTAGAAACACGGGGCGATCGTTGTGACACGTTACTGCTTTAGAATACGCACTACTTTCCTCACGATGGACGTAGAAGTATAGGAATGCTTTGCTCAGATCTGGGCTCCAATCCTTCGATATGGTTCCCAAGATGGCTGCACAATATCATTTGATGATTGTACACAGTTTCTCACAGTATACCGCACTTCAGGGGGGTGGGGGTGGGATAATGAAACGGCATTTTTCGTTCGTAAAAGTCCTAAACCACATAGAAAGAAATTCAAATTGAGGTATCGCTTTCTTGGACGGTGCATTATGTCGTAACGTAGGCAGACAGTGCAATGCTTCATCTCTGCATCATCGCCACTGTCTATTTGAAAATCGATTTGTTTGAGGTTCATATGTATTGCAGTGCTTGTTGCTCGGTTTCACAAGGAAGGAACCCACTCGAAACAGACACCGGACAGACCAATACACAACGAACGCTGCCCTCTGCCACTGCGAATATCCCGGTTTCGCATAGTTCAGTAAGCGGGAGATGTAGACAGTCGTGCATAACGTATGGTGCCAACGCCAACATCTGAGGCGTCCGCAATCAGTGTTAGGCTTTTCGCCGGTGTAGCCGAGGCGAGTAATGGTCGTTCCGTTATTATACAAGTCATTTCAATTAGTATTTGTTAACATTAGGCGGTGCACTTCTAGACTGCTGCCTATTGAGTTGCTCAGGGCGGTTGGGCCTTCGGGATAAAACGTGAGCAGCGTCGGGCACACCATGATGAATCTCGGTCAATTTTGGTCTTTCGATGACTCCAATGCAGTAAGAGCTCGACAGTAGCCGGGATCAGGACGATAGCCTTTCAAATAAACTGCAGAACCCAAAAGGTCCAGAGGACTGAACACGCATTTTGATGGCCAAGTACAAGCGTCCTTTTATGCAAAACGATCGAGAAATATGAGGAGACGGTCGTCGTGTTCATCCTTGGTTGTATCAAACACAATAAGATCGTCTTGATATGCCAGAACACAATCAATGGCGGGCTGTGATATGCCTGATTTAGTGCGCAGAGTGAACGACAAGTAGTTGTATTGGTACGATCTCCACGGTGTTTAAATGTTCGTGAAATGCAAGCATACTGGAAAAGAAAGGGGGAATTGAAGATATGCATCTTCCAAATCGATCTTTGAAAATAACCTGATTCTAGGGTATTGACGGCACAGTTTTTCAAGTTCCGTCGATAGCCACCGCATATTTGTGGTATATTCCCGGCTATCCGGACTGCGACCACAGTTTGTGTTGCTTACGAGGTTATCGTCGCGCGCGTGATGGTACCATGACACTTCATTTTCTGGATGACCCGCTCACTCTGACCATATGGAATTTTGCACCATTTTTATGAATATCAGCTTATTATCAACTTCCAATCCGGCCGGGTGGGTGGCTGGAGCTCTTGCATTCCTGGAACACTTCGCGATCAGCCACTGCATATGAGTGTGGATACTCCGTGAGCAGCAGATGCTCAAGCAGCAGCTTCTTCAGGGAATTATGAACATTTTCCGGGACTTCAGGAAACATCCAGTTTTTCAGTAGGGCATTCAGGTTTCGACCGCCCCGCAGTGAGAAATAATGCTCAACGGGTTTTCGGGCCATTCCCATTCCGGGATCTCGGTTGGATTGTTAT